AAAAACATAATAAAAAATTTATAAATCAATTTTATAAATAATTTAAATAAAAAATTTAATATAAAATACTATAAAACTTATATAAATAGTCTTAAGTAACCTTATTCTTTAACTTTTAAAAAATATATATTTAAATTTTTATATTATTTAGATAATTTTTTATTAAGTTAGGAATAAATAAAGAATTCCAAAAAATTTTATTACACATTGTATATAACCTAATAATAATGTTTTTAGGTTACAAACACAATATTTATAGTTTAACATTATTTAAAAATTAATAAAAGATAATATTTGTTTTCAAAAATCTAAGTTTACTTATTATATTTTATTATAAAATTTAATTTTATCAATTTTTAAATTTTTAATTATACAATTCAAAATTATTGTTATTATTTTTTTAAAAAAATTCATAATCAAGCCAATATTGTATATTTATTAATCCATATAAAAATAAATAAAAATACATAAAGCAATTGTATCATGCTAAACTAAATCATGTATTGAATTATTTATTTATTTAATTTATTAAATATATTTAAAACTTATTAATAAATAAAATAAAATCAATTTAAATCAGTTAATAGGGACTGATCTGATACCACAGATGGTAACAAAGAAGACAACATACCCTCTTCTGAGATCTGAGCGAATAATATCTGGGAATATTGAAGGGTGTGTACATCCCATTGAGTATATCTAACAGGTCTAGTTTAGTGAATTTCAATACAAAAATAGTTATATGAGCCCCATACTAACTAGCCTAAGTATCACCGTTTATAACTGTGTATTAATTATTTGGCCACTAGCTAGATGTGCCCACTCTCGAAGTGATAGTAGGTCTAGCTAGGATTGCTGTGATAGGTTAGCATTAATCTGCATATGTAAAGATATTTGATGTAATGATAGGGAATTAAATTGCTAAATAAAGTCTCGCATCTAATACCAGTTACAGTTTAAACTTAAAAAAAAAATAAAATAAAATCAATTTATATTATTTTTATTAATTTATAATATATATATATATATTTTTTTTTTTATAACGCTGGCTATTGATAGGTATGTTGAGCTTTAATAAATAATTTGTTTGCAGATAAACGATTTTCAATTCTAAGGATTGGATAGGTTTTCAAAAAAGCCCGCTCCACTCTGGGAAGGTCGCGATTTAATTGGAGAAGGAAAATGATTTGCCATCAGTGCACGCAGTGTCCGGGGGGTTGTGAGACTTTGGATTGTTTAACAAATTAGCCTCATACGTAAAGTATCGGTGAATGCTGTACATTTGATTTACATTATTTTTGATCACTTGCACTATTGCGTAATATAAGTTTTGTGAACTATTGTAACTAGTGACTAAACCAACATCCTTTTATTTTCAAGTTATTTTTGTCAACTACAAAATTTATAATGTATTTTCATAATAGAAGCTTATTTCTCTTTTTCTAATATATAGCATATATTGTGTGTACTATATACAGTATATCAATCAATATATTAATGGTTAACAATTGATTATATTATAGTATAGAATAATATTTTCACTTTATTCTAATTTTAAATCTTAGATACTTTTTTATAAATAATGTTATGAAAAGTAATTTAAAACAATCAAGTTTATAAGGATAGTCAACTGATTTCAAAAGTCTATAGTAATAATTTTTTTTTTTTTTTGACTATACTTTGAAAATTTTTATCTCAATAAAAGTTTTGTCATATACAGTATTACAATATTAAAATAGAAAATAATTGATTTACTGGTATAGATCAATTCATTGTAATTAAGAATAAACAATTGGTTCTCATTGTATGATATTTTAAAATAATCTTTTGAAATTACTATTGTTATATTAGCAAAGAAATCATCAGGAGTTTATAAAACAAAAGATACAATTTAAAAATTACAATTATTACTTTGAAATATTTTTTTGATATTTTTACATATCAGAAATGAGATAAATATCTAACCGCCAGGCTAAATATTATCAATAACGCTTAAGAAAAATAATTGCATGTTTTATTTAATATAATAATAAGCAGCAAACGCCAAATGGCACACCCGAGTGACTGAAATACAAATGCGTGCATTTATGAAAGAATATCAAAAACGTGTGTTTAGAAGCGGGTTAAAAATCACCGATAGCAAATTTACGTGAGCATTTTTTTTATAAATTTGTTTTGACCAATTCTTATATGAAAAGAACTTTTTAACTATATTATCGATTGACGGCTCGTGGGGGAGTAAATTTTAAAAAACATATTTTTTAAATGTAACCATATCCTCGATTGTGACTTGTAGCCAGCAATCATTTGATTTGCGAATATACATCATCATCGTTTTCCGACTTGCAGAAATACGGTTTTTACAAGCATACTTTCTAAATTGGTCATATTTTATAAATTTATTTCGCGAATTCGTGAGAGAAAGTATCTCAACTATATCCGATCGTGGGAGTAATTTTTTTTTTAACAAGCACATTTTCAAAATTTATTCCGCAAACATACTCCACCATATTATCGAGTATGCTTTCACAATTACAGTAAATTTTTCGCGAATTCTTACGAAAAGTAGGTTACCCATATTCTCGATTATCGATTTACAGGGAATAACCCATTTTCAAAATTTGTTTCGCCAAAAGTGGGCTGACCATATCATCAATTGTCAACTTGCAAGCGGCAAACGTGTTTTAATCTTGATATTACAGGTTATAATGTAAGGGGTAACAATGCCCCGAGTCACATAATTACACGGACACTTGGCGCGTGCATTTACGTGATCATTGAGTCCGGAATGTGCATTTAAAGTTCATTGTGTGTTTTTTTTAGCATTGCATTATTTTAAGTAAGAGTTCGCGGTGCATATTTGGGAAGTTTTGTACTATATCAATAAACGAGATATTATTTCGAAAAGTTAATTACACAACGAATAAGTTTCTATCGAGATCACATCGAAATTCATTATATTCGTATCGGACTCGTTTCATTATATTGAGATTTTTTTTTTTTTTTTCTTCACATCGTATTCTAATTGCTGATCTGACAATCAGGTGATTTTTTGAAGTGTATGCACACAGTCTGCATTAACTTTATTAGCCAAACTTGGGTATGGTCATTTAAACGGTTGGTTTCGAAACTATTTATTGGACAAGATAAAAGAGCCAAGAAATTAGCCTTATTTGTATAATCCATTCATAGTAATGAAACGTCGATTATTGGTCAACAAATAAAACAGTCCGTACAAACAAACTAGAACGAGAACATCTTTATATGGAGAATAAAATTATTTTATTTAAATCAAAAAATAAATTTGTAAAATCGATCCCGGAGTTTTCATATTTGTGTGGTGTCACCGTTTTATTTCTTATCTTACTCATACGCCAATTCGCTTTTAATTCTTACGGGTGCATTGACCAATTCTATCGACAAATATACAAGCATGCACACATTATTTCTCGGTAACATACTTACCATCTATTCTAAAAAAAACAATGAATCGATCATTACGAATTACTTCGTTAACATATTTTTAACATCGGGGCTATCAACTTGCAGTATGTGATGCCACTTTAACTACAGCAATAACTTCATGTTTGAACTCGGGATTTCAATCTAAAAATTTTTTGGATATACGGCATTAGAAAAATTCATGTTAAAATTGGAATAAACAATGTGCCATGAGATCACAAAATTGAATTTATTGTAAAAATATTATTAGAGCTACTTGCGGTATTTGACGTGTTAATATTTATTTTAATTAAAGCTTCGAATGTAGTTTCCTCTGTGATTGTTACCGTGTGTATACTATATACTGTACATTTGCCGAGTTTAAGATTTTTAATTAATACCATAAAGGTATTTGACCGAGATATTTATTGCCTTTCGGGTTTTCCAAGGCGGGTGTAATGAAACACCGCATAAGCACATAACTCCATGAACGACATGGTAAATTGGCAAAAGTTATACTTGCACGGACTATTTGTTCTCGATCGCACGGTTCTCATTCATTGAATTTACATGAATATGCACACTCTATTCATCGACACCCGAAATTAATTAGATAGGCAAGTCGGCAATTTAATCATCACACGAAAAAGTGGGTTTTTTTTTTTAGTATGAATTCTAAAACTGTGAAGAGTGATTAGCATTGTGATACGGACCAATTTAATCGAACCGATTGTAAGGATTCGTGAAAGGCAAGGATGTTCGCTCAAGAACGAGTGAACGTGCTTTTGTCGGAATTCATATCTTATAAACAAAATGTGTAACTAAAAAAAAAATTTTTTTTCTAGTATTATGTAAAGCCTTGTGCCTTTAGATGAGTTCCTTGACTCGTTATGGTATCAAACATTTATATACCCATGCATCTCAGTTCATGGAATTGGTATAGCTCAGATATATCAGGATCCCAGTCTGAAACGTACGCATCGAGAAATACATTTTATGCAGTACATGAAAAAAATTCTTTTTTTCGATATTTATCAGTTAACAACACTTTTGCAATTTTCACGAATCTCTTCACATCGTATTTATAACTCAGTTGGACGCGCAAATACAGAGAGACAAGCTTTGAATTCTCTTTTTTTAGGTTTATTTGCCAGTTTTTGCTTTTACTAAAATTGGTCTCTTAAACCAATCCTAAATTTGACCGTTAATAGTCAATCTAATTAGCTCGACCATATAAAGTTACCCATATTCTAAATGGAACAAAATTCATAATTATTTGGAAAATTTTATAAAAATTTTCGCTTTTTAGTTTTTTTTTAGTTTTAGTTTTAGTTTTTTTTTTTGGTTGTTGAGGGTTCTACAGTCTTCTCGTTCACCCTCATAAGATTCATTCATTTTAAATTTGCCAATACCCATCCATAACCTTCTCCAATCCTAAAACTACTGATGCCAGTGTGATGAAAGAGAAATACTCTTGCCTGCCGCTACCCAAAAACAAGAATCTCTTCAAATCGATCCGAAACTTTTTCTCGGTTCATTCTACGCGGACCGAAAATACAATGGGAAATGGGGAATCATCCGGAAAAGGAGACGATCAAAATGTAAATTCTCAAAGTAATCACGATTTTAAGTGTATTAATGGGAGATGGTATCATAATGAGGAAGCGTGTTATATATTTCCCTCAGACATTGAGGAAATCGATCGTCAGCAACAACAGCATTATTATTTCAAACACATCTTCAGGACCAATATCTCAGCTCCGGTAGGAACGATGTTAAAGGAGGGATGTAAAGTATTGGATGTCGGGTATGTATGATAAAAACATAAGAACCAGTTCGTACATTAATGCAGGCAGAATACAAAATTCATTCAATTTCTCATCAACAAAGGTGTGGCGCAGGGATATGGTTGTTGGAACTGGCTACAGAATATGAGAAATCGGAATTCTTTGGCGTGGACATGTCGCCCGTTTTTCCTGCTCACATTAAGCCTTCCAATTCTAACTTTATTAAGGCAAATGTGCTAAACGGGCTACCATTTCCACCGAATGAATTTGACTATATTCACATCTCGTTTATGCATGGCAGTTTCAAAGATGATCAATGGCAGAATATCGTGGTAATAAGATAGCTTTCTCGCATTACATTCGTCACAACTATTTCTTACCTCTTAACGTGTAATTCAGATCCCCGAATTGATCCGCGTTCTTAAACCCGGCGGATGGTTGGAGTTCTACGATGTTGAAATCATAAGTATAAATGGTGGCCCGCTAGTGATGCGTCTCACCAAGAGCGTACTACAACTGATATACATTGCCGGCCTGAATCCAAAATCACCGACCCTGATCAAAGATTGGCTATCATCTTATGCATGCCTTAAGGATATTAAGGAGATTATAAGGTATCCTTACATAGGAAAGTGGAAGGGCGAAATAATAGACGAGGAAATCGAGATTGAATGCGAAGAAGAATACGATGAGGGATGCGGGAATGATGTCGTTATCGAAGAAGAGTGTGAATGCGAGAATCCTGAGGAGGTTCATTTGGCTAGAGTTGATGTTGCGAAAAGGAAGAAGGATGTGGAGATTGGAAGGTTACTTAATGAGATGATGAAAACGTATTATACCATGGATTCAGAAAACTTATCAAAATGTATGGGCGTTGAACGGGAGGAATTCTTGAGTATCGTGGAAGAGTGTTTTGAACATGAAACAAGTATATATGACACAAAAATGAAAGTAATAAGAGTGATATGCAAGAAAGAGGAGGATGTATGATAAGAATTATTGTTTTATTTAAATCGGTTATACGTGCGATTAAAAAAAATTTTTTTTTTTATAAAAATATCTCAAAAAATAAATTAAATATCAATATATAGTATACTAAAAAAATTTTGTCTTTTAAAATTGTTTTCTTACAACGATTTTTAAAAAAAACAACCAAAAATAATATGTTGTGGGTGTCACTTGCTGTAATTAACATTGGGTTTGTTTGTTCGTATCATTTATATTATAAAATTGATCTACTGATATTAATATATATAACACAATTCTCAATCTCTTCTCATTCTTAATAAAATTGAATTTCTTTTCTTTTCTTAATATTTTTTAAAAAAGTAATTCAGTAGTTTATTCTAAAAACTTTCTCTTTCTCACTGAGTATTAGTATCTAACTCCTGTATATAATCTATATTAATGTTTTGAAAGCTTTTACAAGAAAATATAGATTAACTAACAAAAACAATAGTTGAGATTTAAGTATTTTCTGAGGGATACTAAATAAAAACATCTAAAACATAATTGATATTGTGCAAGAATAATTGGAAAATCTAAAATATAATCAAACTATATATTGATATTTTTATTATTATATATTAATAAGTATTCAATACTATCCAATAGGTCTTAATAAATATTTTATATAAAATTTTCTTTCTCCTATGTAAGTCATATAATAAGGAATAACTACTTCTTTGGTTTTTACCTTTCTCTTTTTTTCTTTAAAAATTTTTTTATTAACATTGATAATCTTTTATTAGTTTTTATTTTCTAAGAGATAGTAACATATTTAAGGCTAATTCCAATGATCATATTATTTAGTTTTATAGGTCTTAATTATTTCTTTATATATACTTCATATTATAAAATATATCTAACAAAATTAAAATTGAGTTGACATTTAAATTGATATACTGTACATATTTTATAATTTTTAATTGTGCAATTAAAAAAATTAATAATAAAAACCTTTATTTATTATTTTCTTTTTTTCTAAAAATTTTCTTTTTTGATACAGTAATTCTTGAAAAAAAAGCAAGACAACTTAAACTTAACAACATATTAAAATAGTCTTTTATGAAATATATATATAAGGTTTTATAAACATAATTATTAATAAAAAAATATATAATATATTGATAACAATAATATACAATATTCAAAATTTTGAAAGAAAGAAAAATAAAACACAAAATCTAAATTATAGTAAGATTAAAAAACTCAAAATCAACTTTTCTAGTTTTTAACTAGATTAGTACAGATTTATACATTTTTAGACCTTAGAAAAAATTTTACAATTTAATATTTTTAATTAGTAAACAATTAAAACTTATAAAGTTACAAGCTCCGAGAGAATATTAAAAGTTCAAAAACAATAGTTAAGGAATATAAGCAAAACATGATTGCAAAAGATAAACAACTAACATATACTTAAACATAAATACATTCTAGTGAATAATTCAATTTATAATAGTAACTTATATAATATATTTCTTATTATAAACAAATCTATCATATGTTTTAAACTTATTAATAAACAACACTCCAAATAATCAACTTATTTTATAAAAGATCTATAAATACAAATTTAAACAATCAATAAACAAGTAAACAACAGGTCATTATTTGTTTATATTTTAATTAATCTACAAATATAAAATAGTAGATAAACTAGTAACTTGAAAACAAAATAACAAATTAAATAAATAAGAGTTAATTTGTAAACTATAATCAAATATAATCATATATCCTAATAGTAGATATAATTTAATAGCAAATATAAACAAAGTATAATATACTGTATATTACAAATAGTAGATAAAAAAAAAATGGTATAATAAATACTTTAAACAATCTTTCAATAAAATATAATAAATACTCAACTCTATGAGTCTCTCAACTATTGATATAACAAAGAAATATTAAACTTAATAGAGTAGTAGCTTTATTATCAAAAAAATATACTATTCTAGATAAAATTATAGCTAAGATATTAAAAGTCAAAAAGATAACTTTTTATAAGAAACAAATTTTAATTTAACATATCACATATCTTTAATAACTAGAAAAAAAAAAAAGATCTTTTATAATCTTATATTAAAGACAAGTTTATAAAAATTATTTAGAATCTAAAAAATCCATCTAAATCAAAACAACAATCAATGAAAATTATGAAGAAATTAGATATTAAATTAACATTAAGCAATGAAATTACAATAACATGTGTTTAGAAAGAAGAAGAGTTGAAATCGTAAAAGTTTCAAAAACAATTAAAAGTTATTATATTAGTAAATATAACTTTTATATTACTAAAAATATATATATAATTCTATTAACAAATTATATTTATAAAAAAAAAAAAGAAACTTATAAACTAAATAAAATAATAATCGATATTTTAGGAGAAAGAAAAAATAAAATTAAAGTATATCTAGGCAATATTTTAAAACTTTTATAAAAAAAAAGAGTTCATTAATAGAAATGTGAGACTAGTTTTTTGAATATAAGAGGAAAAAAATATTCTAAAATATATAAAAAGGTAAATCAAAAAAAGAATAACTTTGTTATTCAATATATAATTTCCCTGGCCACTCACAAAAAAAAACAAAAAACAGAAAAAAACTTGAATAGAAAATCCTTAAGAATCCAAAATCAATGAAGATATCATTATCTGACATATATTGTATGTCTGATAGATATAAATTAGAAAGTTAATGAGTATCTTATAGTTGAATATCTAAAAAGATATAAAGAACTTAAAAATATCTATATTTATAAGATAAATACAAAACTTCAGATAAAAGTTTGTATTAAATATTACAAATATCTTGGTTTTAATTCAAAAATAAAATAAATGACATTAATTAGTACAAAAATGTTAAAAGCTATATTTTCTAAATTTGAGTTTAGCAACAATAAAATCAATAATATATTGATTGAGCGAAATAATAATTCAATAAGATTTCTAGATACTAATAAAATATATACTAGCCTGATAACTAAAGTATTAAATAATACTTAAACTAAGGCATACTATATATCTAAAGATCTCTATATACTTAAGAAATAAAACTTTATAGTGATTTGCTTTAAAATATAAAAAGATAGAAATAATACATATAAATAATATATCTTTTTACAAAAAATCTTACTTTCTTAAGGTATCAAATATATATTTAAGTTTAAAAAACAAAATCTCAAAAGTGAAATTAAAAACACAAAATTTAGGTCAAAAGAATAAAAATAGATAATAAGTCAATATTTAACTATAGATTTTGATTTATTTTTACAAGATATCATGACTTCAAAAATCAAAGACAAATCAGATAGCATGATAATAATAGAATAAAATGAGAAATAAATAGAAAAAATAAATACTCTATAATAGGAAGCAATAAAAAACAAATAATAAATTAATAAACAATAAATATAGATACTTTGAAAATAAAATAAGACCTAAAATAGAAAGTATACAAAATTTTTTAAAAGTATTCTAAACAACCCAAAGGGATTATATAATAAAATAAATAATTTAAAAAAACAAATAGCTTCTAGAAAATAAAAACAAAGTAATAGAAAAACAAATTATTTCTAAGGATATATTAGTTTTTTATAATAATTAAAAAAAGCAAAAGCTCATTGCCTTCTTTTCAAAAATTACAAATATAGACAATAAACAAATATTAAAAAGCAATAATAAAATAGAATATGATAAAAATTTAAATATTATGATATTTTTATAAAATAAATAAAAAATATTTATAAACAATAATAACAGATATAGATTAATAGAAAAAATAATAATGAAGAAAGATAAGATACACAAAAAATTAATTATAATAAGTATATATAATATTAGAGATATTATAAATAAAATAAAATAATAAAGTCTTATAAATGAGATACTAGAATAAAAAATAAGTATATTGAGACTATATAAAACAAAACTAATTCAGATCAATATACAATAGATTTTTAAAAATTAGAAGGCCTATAAGTACTTTTACAGTACTAATAAAAATATATTTTTTAGAATAGAAATCAATTTTCTAATTAAAAAAAATCTTGAGAAGAAAATAATATTAATAAAAAAAAAAAAAAGAATATATAATCATTGCAAATACTTATAAAAAAATTTATATTATATAGATTTATACTTAATCAAGTAAATAAAGATACAAAAGGATATTAAAAAAAGTAACAAGCCTTATTAAAAAAAAACATGAACAAGGCTATTATAAAATAGTAATAAGAGACTTTAATATAATATATAACTTATTAGAAAATAGAAAATTATCCTTTAAGGTAAAGTTCAGACTATTATGATATTAAAAATTTTATTTATTTAACTTTCTTAATAAATACAATTTTATAAATATACAAGCTATATGGAAAGGCAAAAAAAAAATTTCAATAAAATAAGACTTAACAAATAGTAATAAAATAGACTATACAGTATATAAATTTTATATAGTTTAATATATTACTCTCTACTTCAATTTGATAATCAAAATATAAAAAATATTATAAAAAGTAATTATACTATATTTCTAATAATCTTATAAGACAACAGCCTTTTTATAAAAAACAAAATCCCTAAATCTTTTATATATGTATAAAAATAAATTGATAAGAAGAAATATTTTCAATGTAATAGCAAGTCTTTTGTAAAAACCTAGATTATAAATTCAAGATATTATTAAAATTTATGTTTTAGAAAGAATTTAACTAAGACAAAAGAGAAGATCAAATAAATAAGTTATGAAAAATCTTAAAAATTTTATTATATAGAATAGTTTTTAACAAGCTTGCAACTAAAAATCAATGTTACCTAAGAAAAGGAATTATAAATACAGTTCTAAATTTATTAATTATAAAAAAACTTTGTAACTAAAAAAACTTTTCAATAAAATGAAAGCATGAAAAAAATAAGCTCACTATAGGTTCTCCTTCAGCTATATAAAAACATAATAATATTTACAACCTAAATTATC